CAGACGTCAAGTGTGATCAACTGAGCTCTATTAGCTCCGGAGTGAATGTATACACATGCATACGTACATATATAGTGCAGACGCCTGACTGTGTGTGCTGTTCAAAGACGAAAATAGAATGTTGCATTCCCTAGTTACGGTATATCCATCGAATAATCGGACGACAAAAGATGGAAACTCTCCTATACCTCAATCGCTCATTTATGAAGATGTTGAAACTTTCAATCCTGGTCATGCATACAACGATATGCAGCCCAGTACTAAAACCAAGGGGCCCTCATTGGTGTACTTACCAGTCGAGTGCAAACAGAGCTCAACTTCTTGCTGCGCTGTGGGTTGAATGAAGTGTCATGCGAACGACGTAACCTTATATACTTGCCTCGCCTATGACTGGCTGAAAGGACTTCAAGCTTGGCACCTGCTCAGATACAGCCTATAATCTTGAGCCGCTGTGTTTCGTTGGTGAGATCTGTGTCGCTGACTAAGTCAAAGTTATCGTTCCTGATAAACAAACGGTGCTTCGCAAACGACTTTTCTGTGATGCTTGTACAGTAGATACACATGAGGTGATAAAAACAGGTAATTGTGGAAGATGCGAAGGATCCTTCGGGAACCAATCACGTTCTACTTTCATATACCTGCATTGAAATTTGGTCCATGACATACGATGCAGTTCATATGCACTTTAGTTGGAAGTCTCGTCCGTAACTTCACTTTTGATGCACTTCGTCTTTTTCCGTTTCTTTTCTTAGGGATATGTGTCAGAAAACTCGAAAAGCCAGATCCTTTTAGCCATCTAGCTTCAAGCATCATTGGTGATCATCAGTCGGAGACACACATTTCAGTTGGTTGTAAAGGAGTATGCGTGTGAGGCAAGAAGTCGACGAGTTAGATTATATGATTATCCTCATTACCTGTTCCCAGATTCTAAATCCTGAGAGGCACGGACACATAAACGACACAACCAGATTTTAAAGCATCGGTACAAAGGTTGACACCGGTATTAGACTCACATGTTAACGACATGCTTTGCTGAGCCAATCTGAAGAAATGGGTACTGTACATGATTACATATAAATTCAATTTTGAGTCAACTATTAGTTGCACATAGGACAAAAGTCTGACAGGTTTCGAGTTTTCTCAGAACTTTCACCTCCAACAGGATTACGAAACCCCCTGTCGGCTTCTCGCTTCCAAACCTTTATGGATCTCGAAGCCCCGAACTCTCGCAATCTACTGCTGTTATTCAACTGAAAGTTATATAAGACGACTCTGATCCGCATCAGACGATCGTGTCCAGCATATGGAGCTAGTACCTGGAACCACGCACCGCCACCGCAACAGTATGAGACTCGGTGTGATTACTGAGAAGCAAGCACCCAGCGGCATGTCTGTTGTCGTTTCCATCCCAGCCAGTCCCATTTCGACGAGTTGCTTCTCTAAATAATTTGCTGTTCACGATCCGAAGATTTGACCGACAAGTCTGACATGCCGCATTATACTGGTCCCATACAGGATCCCAGCTCCCAATTTGTATAGTAATTTATTGTTCAGCATTGACACGAACAGTGATTTCTTGGGGAAATTGCACTCTTTGCTCCTTGGTGTTGTTCATAACTGGCAACGATCGAAAGAAAAAGAAAGAGAGAGAGCGGATCACACTTGAGAGCTTTCATTGGATGTCTTCACTAGGTTGCTTCCACATTCAGCTCTATCCGTTTCTTCATGTAAAGCTATGTACATGATCGACTGCCAACAACAGTTCATATAGCCTATATGAACTGTTGTGACCTATATGATATAGGTCACAGAAGACGAAGACCTCTAGTCAAAGCTGATCCCTGAAGTTAGTTCCTGACCCAGGGAATCTACACTCGTGCACCTTTATTCTGACAGCATACTTTACTGCGAAATGATAATAATTTAATTTCAAACCTCATGGGCAGAGGTGAGGTGCGCGCGTCTACCTTTTTCGTTGCTGCTTTGTTAACCGAAGAGCCATCGTTGCTCGACATGAGAAAATTGTCCCACCTGTCATCTCATTGTTTGTGTAGTTTCTTGTTTTGAAATGCGGGTGCTACCTGTCCCTTTTCTAAATCTCTTTTTCATGAGGATTCGTGTGCTGATGAAAGAAGTCATGTAAGCTGCTCACTCCTTGCTGACAGCCCACTCGGCACTTTTTTTGGAATCAAGTCTGTTAGACAAGGTGAATTCCGCACATGAAGTAAAATCTTAGCTTTACTTCATGTGATTTGTGCAACAACTGATTGAGAAATAGAGTTGAAACATAAGCCAAATGCTGGGAACGTGCACAACCATTTGAACAATCGTGCGGATTTATAACTATTCATATTGGACCTAAATTTTATTGCAGACTCTGAGTCCTTCCTTGTTCCTGGCTATCTATCATCCACTAAAAGTTCCCATATGCACCTTCCAACTGCTGCATCAGAACCATCCTCAGGATAAGATGACTGGTTATTCACGATGCTGAAGAATATTGTTGATTATTCACTGCACTGCGAGATTCAATTTCAAGTCAATTGTAACCTTGCTCCTGCTTCGGGCTTCGAAACAGCATTGAGAAGAACTTCACTGATTGCCAGATTCTGATCTTGTACAATGTACAGCACACGTTGTTTCGTAGTAAAGAAGCTTCTTTTAATGACCATGCGGTCCAAGGTTAGTGTATTGCATTATTTTCGTGGCCGTAACTCGAAGCAGGTACTGCAGAACGAAGGAGTCTGTCTATGTTCTCGACCTCGGACGCTGCACTGTACATGAAATTTTGATAGCAGTGTTTTGGTCTCACTTGCTTCAAGTTGAAATCATGGAGTCAGTTTGAAGTTGAACATGCTTGTGCTGGACGTGTCAGCTTGTAGTCATGGACCTCTGAATAATGCAAATTTATGGATTGAGATTAATATGAAAGTCGGTTTTGGACTTGCGGGGTTTGGACACGTTGCTGAGATTAGGAATTTCAGCTTTTTGTCTGCTGCTGATATTCTAGAAGCAAAGGTTCAAAGGTTCTACTTTCAAAGGTTATTAGCCAAGAGCTCCAGAGCAAATTAGCGCTGAAAATTGTCTGATTGAAGCATGGAAAAAGATGTACGGTTCACACATTTAAAGAATTTCTCACACATACACACGTACGGTTCACACATGCAAACGTGGATGGCTCTCTGTCCAAGTCTTTTGCTAGGAAAAAATGTCCAAGTCTTTTGCTAGGAAAAAATGTCCAACCTTATACCGAAATCGAGCAACAAGAAAGTTGACAGAAGTTTTTTAGAGAAATTAGAGCAGCACCCCTTAAGTGGTCACAGGAAACAAGCATAAGTTAAGTATTTGAATTGAATAATCGAGCAAATGCCAATATCGTGGCCAATGCCGTTGCTACCAGATCCTTTTGATGAAGACGTGATTCAATCCACCTTAGAAGCCAACAGGATGATAAAACCAAACTTCTCTTCGTTCTTGGATGGAGGAGCTTGATGAAAGTAGCTCACCAAGGTCCAACTCCATCAGCGGGCCTGTCACAATTTGTTCACCCCGGTAGGCAAGGAAGAGTGAGTGACTTGACTGGAGAAGCTTTACGAACAATTCTCTCATCTACCTTTCATTTTTGGCAGATGCTATCTCAGTGATTTTCACTTCAAACATTGATGATGCATAGTGAACGCAAATTTACCCCTCACTTATCCTTATAAGCATTAAGATATAAGTAACTTTGAAAATGTTTCAGGTGGGAGATTTTTCTTTGTCAACCGCATGAGTTCGAGCTTTCTATCTTTCTGTCAATGATTTGGAATTATCTCAAAAGACACATCTTTATGGAGTATTATTTTGGAACTAACATGACATGATAACTTAGTTTTTTTGGTATTTAAAATAAACACATTATGTGACCTTAGGACTAATTAGTTATATTTACGACGAGAAAAAAAGCATAAACATGACAATCAGAATTCTCTATGCATAGATTAACCACATAACCATTCGTGACATATATCAATGGGCTCTTATAATGGATTGCACTTGCACTACAGAGTGAAAAGAATATCACATATATCTGGAATCTACATATTTAGCCCGTAACTTTTACGGTAAACCAACTTGACCTAACAAACTCCTTTCGCTTGACTCACTTAGCAACGCCATCATGCCCAATATAGTATAGTGTTGTGATATGACAAGTCAATTTCTCCTTCTCACAATACGTCTCAAATTGAGTCAAGATATTATCCTGATTATTCTCCTACGTGATTCTTCATTTCTTCTAAATATGAATCTTCACAAGGGCCTCAATTGTGTAAAAATGTAAGTCTTCATTCCTTTTCTCAGAGAAGTAGATTCATACATTTATTGAAATGTAATCAACAAAACTTGCAAAAAAATTATCGATTTAGAATGCAAGGGAGGATAAAAAATTACCCTTTTTCATCAGAATTAGCAAAATTCTAGAAAAGTCAAATACCATGTACACCTCATCAATGTATTTTAAATAACCATTCTTCCAAAATTCCAACTTAAACTTCCCCATATGAGCCAAAAGAATTATGTGAAGGATGATGAGAGCTTTCTGACTCGCGTGGTCAAATCATGGATGCCACAAATGCATGACTTCATCTTGAGATATAATAAGAAATGGTTTGTCAATTATTGTACTCCTCAACTATGCATAGCCCCGAGGTACTAGATTCCAAACCTATCTAGCCTAATCATGGTTGAGCTAACTATGGGTCTGCCAATTAGCGTACTCCTCAACTACATGTACTCTACCCTATATATCGTTGAGCTAACTATGGTTAAGAAGCAAAAGAATTAACCTATCAGATTTAAGGTGAAATTTCATAATTTTCCTACATTTTCTAGCCAGCTTGGAGAAAATGAAGTAACCACAATAAGCAGAGAGCTTCAAAGATTGGTGAAGAAACCTAGCGGGTACTAGAGGACTAGTACTCAACTAAGATCTCATAAAATGTGTCGAGAAGATTAACAAACTTCTGACATGTTGAGAACTAGAATCATCCGATTCTAGTTCTCAAAGCCATGTTTGGAACCTTCAGGGGTTTGAGTTTTAGCAAAAGATTGGGGAGGCCCGAGTGGAGACTCGTCGATGTAATACGCCTGGCCTCCATGGCTGGTGAGATCCATACCCTCCATTTCGTCTTCTGGAGAGATTCTGAGCAGGCTACTCTTGTTCAGAAACCAGAAACAAGGGACCATGGTGACAGTGACCCACCCCATGACAACGAGAATTTCCACGAGCTGGGCCGCCAGAAGCCTGCCTCCCCCTCCCATGAAGAGGCCGTGTCCACGCCCGGGACCATAACCCTCGAGCACGTACTTCTCCCGAGCGAAGAGGCCAGTGAAGAGCAGGCCCCAGGCACCGCAGCCCCCATGCAGCTGCGCAGCCTCCAGAGGATCGTCGTACTTGGCCTTGTTCGCGAGGTAATTGAACCCCATCAGAACCCAAGCCGCTCCGAACCCGCAGATGATCGCAGCCCAGGGCTCCACCACTGCACATCCTGCAGTGATGGCCGCGAACCCGCCCAGCAATCCGTTGCAGACATCCGTCACATTCCAGTGCCCAGTGAACCACCTGCGAGCGAACAAAGTGGTCAGAGCTGCAGCACAGCCCGCGAGAGTGGTGGTGACTCCAGTCCTGCCGACTCCACTCCAGTTGCCCTCGAAGCTGGAGCCTTCGTAGGGGACGACGATTTTCACGTACGAGCCGGGGTTGAATCCGAACCATCCGAACCAGAGCAGAAAGCTGCCCAGCACCACGAGCGACGCGTTGTGTCCCTTCATGTCCATGCCGGGCTTGCCATCCCTGGTGTACTTGCCCAACCTCGGACCTTCGATGTACGCTCCCCAGAGCCCAGCGATGCCTCCCACCATGTGCACGACGCCACTCCCCGCAAAATCTATGGCTCCCACTCCGAACAGGCGGCTCGTGGCTGCGGCCCCCAGCCATCCGTCGACCGACCAGACCCAGTGCGCGACGATCGGGTACACGAAGCCCGTGAGGAACGACGAGTAGACGAGGTAGGCGACGAACTGCGTGCGCTCGGCGATGGAGCCGCTGGTGATTCCGGCCGCAGCGATGGCGAACGACCACTGGAACAGGAAGAAGCTGTAATCGAAGCCATTGACCTCGCTCGGCATGTCCTTGAGCGCGTAGAAGTTGCTGCCGATGAATCGATTGCTCTGCGCGCTGCGGCCGAAGGCGAAGCCGAAGCCGAAGAGGTAGAAGGAGATTCCGCCCGCTGCAGCGTCCAGGACGTTCGTCATCATGATGTTCATGGTGTTCTTGGCCCGCACGGACCCCGCGCACAGCATGGCGAACCCGATCTGCATGGAGAAGACCAGGTACGTGGAGAACAGCAGGTAGATGCTGTCCACGGCCAGCGTGTGGCTCGACAAGGTGGCCGACACTCCGTCGAATTTCGAGCACAGCATCTCGCCCACTTGGCTCGAGCTCGCATTGTTGAGCCCCGATGCCGCCAGCAGCCCCGTCAGGACGCCCAGATCACCGTCCACGCAGCCCGCCATCTTGTCCAACCGCTTCGGCCTCCACTCTCGAGCTCTGTCACGCAGCTTGCAACGCTCGGACGGGAAGGTCCAGCCAAATTACCGATAATTGATTCGGCTCGGTAGAAATCATGGACGTCTAGATCGGAATTATAGAGAAAAGTTGGGGGCCCATATTGCATCTCAAGGCACCTTCGAGCCTTCACAAGCGGAGCTGCTCGTGGAGAATCGAAGTTGAGATGATGGATCTCTTGCCAAAGTTCCTGCAATATATAATGCAGCCGAGCGAGCCATGGGCGAGCTTGGGTTGCACATTCGAGTGAGCAGAGTTCGAGTCCGGTATTTTGGGCCGGGTAGATTCGGTGATGGTGACGGTGGTGATGATGATGTTGCAGATTCCGAGTTACAGAGGTCAAGATGGCGCTGGAGTTTCAGAGTGCCTTTGTACTGCACGAGGACTTGCGGTCGGTTCGGAAATTCTGAGACTCGTCTCCGCTCGTTTTCATAAGCTGAGCCAGCTCGATGTCCATCTTAGATTCTAAAGGGCAGTCTAATTATGGCCTTACTTTCGTACACACTCAGCGTATCATGGAGGTTTTCGACATAAGATTCTCCACACAGTTTATTTGAGTGTTCACTTTCTGGGATCCAGATCTTAATGAACTGCCTGATTAGTTAGTTGACTGCTGCCTCGACTTCCGGATTCGCAAGAGCTGAAGAAGTAAGTATTCCAACTGTCAAGAATCGTCGCTGTTCAAAATTACTCAGAACGGATATCTCCGTGATCATTCTGTTTTCTGAATATTGATTCTGGTCCCTCCTCACCACGACTACATTCCTGTTTAAGCGTCAGCCACGAGTAGGAACACAAATTTTAAACAAGGTCTCAAAAAAATGTCAGTCCACCAAGGTCTATTGGAGGATCACGTAATACAGTTTGAAGTGCACATGCAAGTAGGCAGCAGAGAAACTCAATATATGAGAGGCGTGAATGGCAATGTTGGGCTGCGGCCTGCATCCCCAAGAAGCCCCCCAGCATCTTGATCTCTCCATAGATCGAGTACAATATGTTGAGGTTTCAAATTTCTGGAATCGTTATTTCAAAGAATTTATGTTCAGAGAGACCAGAACAGGCAGCATGTTTATGAGCATTACCGTTCGAATTCAAGACGGCTAGGAGGTATTCACCCTGATCTCATGACATGTAGGCTGTAAGGGTGTCTTGATGCAACATCTATAAGAAAGTCTGTTTGTGACGATATTCTAAGGAATTTAAAAGCCTCACTGCTCCCATGCGGTCGGAGTGTCAAAACTCTATCCATACATGAACACTGCAACAAATGCTGTTGGTTGACTGATCCTGTCATAACCTCGATTCCTTTGTCGTATGTACTGATTTAACTTGAGATGACTTTCATGTGTTGATTCAGGTTGTTATGCTGTAAATGTATTTGAAAATATGTTCCACATCACCACGTTAATACTATGTACTTGCCGATTTGAGCCTCCGAACGGGTTGGTAATCTGGCTCGCCCTGAACTCTGAGACCGCGAAGAGTTCAGACAGCACAGCTTATAGGAACGTCTAGTAACATCGTGTCATTCGTCCCTTGTTTATTAAAATTGATCTGAGTGAAGTGCCACGTTACATATTTGTATAAAGGTTGCTCAAGCAAATCGAAGGATCTCGAAGGGACACTCGTATCCTTCCTGGATCCAAACGAGCAATTTCGCCTCACCAACTAGTTGACGTGAAATTAACACGGCACATCCGTAGGAACATCTGAAAATGTAATCACACCGTCTTTATCGCATTTTCAGGCAAGAGAGGGAAAGTGGAAGCAAATGTTTCTGCAGGTGAATCGAATCCTGTGTACTTCCGGGAAGCAAATCTGGACTGTACCAGCTTGCGAGTGCGTATAGTGTACACAAGCTATATCAGATTTAACCCCAATACCCTTGCGACCACTTGCAAGTTCTTGTCCACTCCCATTGGTGCTGCAAGCAGTAGTAATCATTGTGGACCTTTCCGTACATAATACACGTCTATGCGTGGTCCACAACCAACAGTTCGCAAGCAGTCAAAGAGATATTTTCCTAAATTCTCTAAAGCTTGTAGATCAAGATACAAGTTCTCATCTTTTTCCTAAACTAGACTATCTAAGTTCAGCTCACAAGAGCCAAACGTCCCCTTTCATTCAAGAGTTCAATGCGAAATGCAGATTCTCAAGCTCTGAGATGAACTCTTCCAAGCCGGTTTTTTTGCATGATGCATAATTTAAACCTCATAGGCATGAAGCTGTGAAGAATTTACTCAGGGAATACCAATTGTGCATTGTCCGGCTTACAGACCACGAGGGCCAGTTTATTGATGCCAAAATATATATTTTCACCATGTGTTCATGCGTGCATAACCATCAATGTGGAGAGACATTTCGGAGGAAGCCTTCCCAGACGACAGATCATGGGTTGAAAGGATTTGCCAGAAGGAAAGTGAACCGAAAGGTCAGCTTAGAAAAGGTGGCACGTTCAGACAAGAAATCTACTCCGAGTAGGAACTATTGAATCGGAGGTGAATGGACATTTTGATGAAGTCTATATTTCAGGAATTTCAAATACAAGGGAAGAGCTGACATGCACTCCAGTTCGCCTACTTATTATATGGTAGTATTTACACTTGAAGAGATGCAGGGCTGCAGCCCATATGTCACTATCATCTTCTACGTCCCTATGCCGGTACTCCGAGATATTTCGTACTCTTTATACTGCGCTAACTAACTTTTGAGTAATATTCACAGACCCCATTTTGTCGCTTGAGAGGATACATCCACACCTTACAAGAAACAGTACTTCAATTCAGTTCAAGGCATGCCTGTACCTTTCAAGGCTTCTGGGTTGGCTGTCCTCGAGGTAACCTCTGTCCAATTTCCTGAGCAGCCCAAGTGCCACAATTAGTTTCTATGCTTGGTGCAAAAGAACTGCCTTTGTGAGCTCAACGTGAAAGACAAGGATTTCCAGTGTAGTAAAAACCATTTAGAAAACCTGAGATACGCAAAAACGTGATAAATTTGATAAGTCAAGCCGTGCTATTGAGCCAGAAGACTTCAGATTACCAATCCCGATCGACTTGGAAATGATGATAAACAAAGGTAACGTGAAAAAAGGAACAGACATTTGGCTGAGACAGAATTTACACTGATTGTTTATGCTATCAAAAGAGTAACCTACAAAGGGACTAGTTTTAAGACGGCAGAAAATAAAACGTATACGTTTAGTCACCTGATTGGTGTCGCGGAGCCCGAAGCAAAAGAAAATAAACATAGATGAACAGCGAGAGGTGACCAGTCAAAGGACACAGGTGCAAACGATAACGAAGGAAACAAGGATAGAAAACGGAAAATAACGTGAAGTGCAATGTAGACCAACACCGTGGTTGCAACAGGGTCCAGTGACCAGTGACCTTTCCCAGCGTCTCAACGACAAGCATTGCTTTGCCATCAAGCAGCTAAGGAGTATCATCAGTTTAATCGAGCTGCAGGGATTTCTGCTCAGACTCGCGTAAGGCAGAAGTCAGGCCCGACACATGAATGTATCTGTACACTGCCTTGCAGAGGCCAGCGATCTCATAAGGTAGTCAATCGTAAGGATTTCTCCTCCCGTGGCATTCTACAAGGGGATGTATTAATTCCAGTTGGACAATATGCGCAGGCTTTGCCTACACGTTCCTGATCCGCCAACTTGTTTCTATTTGATCGATACATAAGAAAACGGACAATGAGCTGCCTTTGACTTGAGACGACGACTGAATGTCATTAACGAAGAAAATGCGTTACTTTCATATAAATAACCCAGCTTCATACTCACTTCAAAAAGGAGGTTGACGTTAGTTGCTAGCTTTGCTGAAGTCTCAATAAAGAACATGCCGTTACTTTCAGCGTAAGCTTGAGAATCCTGGAATGTGCAAGATCCAGAACAAACATTAGCCTGGTGACGGGGGCTGCATTCTAAGGGCCATTTGATTCTAAAAGCTATACATGAACATATGAATATTTCACATAGTGAGCCATATCTACTTCCAATCTACAACCCTTTTCTTCAGTAAACGCTGCAAATAAAAATGTGTGGACGGAATGTATCATAACACAGATTCGGCTCTTGGCATATCTCTAGGAAGAAAGACAATTACCTCAGAAGCAACCTCTCGTGACTCCTCTAGATCTGCCTTGTTGCCAACCAGGGCCATCACTATACCAGGACTCCCATGCTTCTGCAGCTCCTGTCGAACGAATAGGCATACTCCATGGTTAGTATTGACGGTGTAGAAAATGTTTTCGAAATGAGTTTGCACGTGGATGACAGGAAAGTGCCTAAGGTAACTGCTTCTCAAACCTAGGCTATAGTGGAGACGAGCTTTGATTCTTTGCATCGAAACATGAAGAGTGATGATCGTACAGTGAATCTTTAACCACAACGTAAGCAACTCACCTTCACCCAAAACTGAGCTTTTTGGAACGAATCAGGGCTGGTGATGTCGTAAACTACGACAGCTGCTGAGGCCCCCCGATAGTATAAAGGCGCCAGCGAGGCATATCTGTAAATTGCTCACATGACACAAATTTCGTAAGAGCAAACATAGTGCATGTCCCAAGCAGACCATGCTGGTATTCACTAACGACGGAGAGGAATATAGATATTGCAGCACAATACTACTAAAGAGGTAACTCAACTTGGACAACCAGACTCCGTGTGGCACTTTATCTTAGAAGACAACAACCATAGCCGTTCGGGCATGCTGATGAATAACCAACTTCTCTAGAATGAATGAAAATTATGAATGACATTAAAACGTCCATACTAATGACTTAGCTAAAACATGCAGTGCTCTACTCCTCAGGTGCAGGTTGGCCAAAGTGAACTGGATGAAAACACTCGTAGCCTAGACGGCGAAAATTTATCTTATATAGAACCATAGGACTTGCAACTCTCAGATAGGAATCTCTTCATCCATTTAAGGCCCTAAGGTCCATCTTGCAGGCTTCAGTAAGATGAGTATTCACTTTCTTTTCTCTATCGAGCGGCCCTTCCAATACAATCGACTACACATTTCATTTTGCCCCTTGGACACCCGTTCACCTTCCTCGGAAATATGGACATATTTTACCACACTTATAAAAGGCTTTACATTGTATCCGACTAAACTATCTACCGAATATTCTAAGGTAAATAATGAACCTGTTATCGCAGCTGGTAGAGACTGTATATGAACGAAACTTAAATACAATCGTGCCATGGATCAAAACTTTGATAAAATGTACGTACCTCTCCTGACCAGCTGTGTCCCATATCTCAAACTTCACCGTTGTGGAATCTTTCAAAGCTACTGTTTGCGACAAAAAGGATGCACCGACTGTCACCTGAGATATGATCGAGATTAGGCTCACCAAGAGAAGCATGAAGCCCAGACAACAAACGAAACTCCGCTATGCCTAAACACTTCGATCCAAAGCTGCATGAAAGTATTGAAGAAACATCTAGTCCTATTAGAAATGAAGGAAGCTTGTGGCACGTACCTTAGAAGAAGGGTCGAACTGACCACGTACAAATTGCAGCACAATGCAGCTCTTTCCTACACCGGAATCACCCAACAACACTAACTGCAAGCACAAACTAAACGTGCTTCAGCAACGTAGACCCACCTTACAATTATGACAAGCAGGTTCCAGAACATGATGCGATGCATTTACGTCATAGGTTATATATAGTTCGAAACCTTAATCCGCTCTATGTACACCACCCTCCTTATATTTAGCCAAGGAATTTCGAATAGTCCTCGACAAGGATGGGGAAAACACTGGAGGTTCACAGCGTAAAAAGTCATGGTTCCTACTCATCACTCCTGTGCCGACCGTAGGTAGACTTTCTTGGTAGTGATTACAGGACGCTTTGCCCTCTAAAATATGTCATTAAACAAGTCACGGCAGGACTGATCAAATGGCTTCGGACGATTTCACATGAGCATAATGCAGAACTTACCTTGATTCGCAAGTTTTTTGAGTCGAAGGTTTCTACGGCATCTTGATTCATGCCGGCTAGACGTCCCTGTCTAGCTGTAGAATACAAACATTCCACAATTCAACAATTTTTTGTTAATTCAAGCTCAACATACGATACTTGAATTACGAGTCCATCCTCAACAAAACGTACTCCAGTAGACCTATATACGGGCATCCCAAGCATTTAGCGCATGGAACCTGGCGATTTCTAAGGGTGCAATTAGGTCACATCATCTGTAGTTGACTGAGGACATCATCATCAATGTTCAACTGGAACTCCACCACACAGGAATCCATGATCTCTGCTAACATCAGTCTAGAAGCAATCAAATCCAACCCGCTTCGAAGTTAAAACCAGCGCAAGAGTTCTGTGGGCGTTTGAGGCTGGCCAACCACATGAACTGACAAAAGGATTCCGTCTTTTATTACGATTCACGACGTCAACAGCATTCAAACCCAAAAGTACGATCAAACCCCTTTCCATTGAGCTACACGACCTCGAATCGAGAATTGATCAACTCCTCGAATTCCCCGACCACTACAACAACAATCTTCAATCGAGAAACGACTTCTACCTGGAGCTGAGGCAGCACAACCCATCGCTGCAACCCGCGGACGCTCTTGCACAAAAAATTTGAATCGTATGAAACTTCCCCTCACGAGTTGTCCAAAAGCAGAAGAAATTTAGTTAGAACCGCCAAGCGAGCGAGCGAGCGATCGAAAGCGTCTCTATCTGCCTCTCTGAACTCAATTTCTCTCTCTCCCCGTCTCTCCAGCCTTTAAAAATACTCGAAATGCGGATCACTCAGATAATGTCGCTTGACGTGAGCACATGAAAGCAAACTCGGGGGAGAAGGTAAGATATGATTTGAACTCGAGAATTGATCCCTCCTTCCCGGGGCCTGGGCTACAGATCCTTCTCTCTCCTCAATCGATGACCCAAATGCTCTCGTCCAGCACTTGCTCAAATCCACTGCTCTGCTTCTGCTTTGCATCTTCCACCTGGGCCGTCGGCCCCGTTCGGGGGAGCCGTTCTTTCTTCGACGGCGACCAACCGTCCGGCTACCTCTCCGTCAACCATCGCCCGAATCCAACGAAGAACGAAATCGATGTGAGAGCACGCACAGCCGGCAAGTCGGCGACGGGAGAATCGGGGAGATTCGCGAGTCCGTCAACAATGGGAGTCGACGGTGGAACGGCGGGCGACGGCGGTGGGTTCGGACTGCACCGCTGGCGTCAGTTTCGGGCTCCAAGTTCACACGTGGATCTGGCTTTCCGCTCTCCCGTCCATCTGGCATCGTCGCAGTCATGAATATCGTCGCTAGCAGTGTCAAGGCTCCCGCAGTTCCAGCCAGCCTAGCGTGGCTGAAGCGAACGACCGTCGTTGCTGGCACTGTTCAGCCTTTGACCGTCGAGATGGGGACGCAGGTTGGGGTGATGGGGTCGATTGGAGGATGGTGTTCACAGTCCCGCCGTCCCGTGGGCTTTCCCGTCGGTGACGGCGTCAATCGCTGCACACGGGCCACAGAGGAGCTGAGCCCAATTCCTGGACCCAATTCCTCTATTAGGAACCCTCCCATGCCGAAAGGGCCTAAATACATCGTACCTCTTTTCATGTTGTGTGTCAGTACGTCATGGAGGCAACTATACCAACTCTGAGATGCTGCACTGATTTTGTTTCGTTACGAGCTTTCTACGTCTCGGTCCATACGTTCCGTGCTTCTACGTGCAATAGGAAATTTTTTACATTGTGATGCTCTTGGGGCCTCACGCATGTCACACATTTGGTTTCATCCGAGCTTGACAAGGTCTTGTTCCTGTAGAAAGTGGGGCCAATAACTTTGAAAAAAAATATCGTAAGGGTTGAGGATCTTCCTACGCATTTGCGATATTAATTTTTCTTTTATTTTCACTTTCAAGCTTCCCAGCAACAGCTCGCGTGGCCAACCGCTCTTTACTTTGTCCAGCACAATTTTCACAGGTACCTATCGTATTCGTATCGCGTGTGCAATACGATGCGGTTGGAGTTTTTTGTTCTAAAACCAGACCGACAACCAAAGTTCGTCGGTCAGATATCTCAGAAAAAATATATATCTGAAAACTATCCAACCTCTGGAATCTGGAGTAAGAAACATCAAAGTTTGAGTGCCCTATCAACGTGAGAAAGGAGTTTGCTTACTACCATATACCTTTCGGTGAACCATCGAAGATCGATGACCAATCAAAAGTCGATCATCGCAGATTAGATATGAGATTCCTCGTCACAGTGCTCCAAACCCTTTTTATGGTTTGCCTCCGAGTCCCTCTTTCGGGTACTGCGGGAACCGAGAGTTATACATTGGACCCTGCAACTTGACGAGTGATTGACTGTGCAGTCAACGATGGCCTACCTACAGATTCTTCGAGGATGTACACGTACACAGCACTTTCTGTACCGGTATAACAAGTAGACTACAAAACCAACCAGTCTGAATGCAAGTCAACGTCATGCACCAACTTTTTCAAGTGTCCGAATCGCTTCTGAAACAACAGCACCTCGAACTTGGAAAAAGATACCATTGAGCACAAACAGAGAATAATCCCCACTTTCTTCTAGAATCATACTCATAATAAGGAACCTTCAGCGTTTAATCAAATAAATTAGGGAAGGCTTAAGAGACTTCAAAAGTGCAATTCCAGACAGTGAGGTCTCTCACCAATCTGAATGTAGATCCTCACGACCAGCCTTCAGGAAATTTACCTCGGATCTCTCTACCGACTCATGCCGAAGGCATCTAATGATCACTTACTCCTCTTTCATTGAAGTCTGCCATGTGCAATCATGGTAGTTTATAAATCAATCCCGATGTATATTTAAACCCACAAAAAAACAATGAAACATGTATCACACTCCTGCCGAGCATTTGGCCAACATAATTTAACGGATACTGTATATTTTTTAGATGGATATATCCACATATATGTACTGACAATCTTGTCAAGAGTTTCTTGCATGGGCTAACGATCTGCTGTTCACAGTACTTGTGTGCTCAACCGAATACCCAATAGTACAATCCGATCGACTGAGAGAACTGATGAAACGCGGTAAGAGACTTGTGCAGCTCCAAAACTTCTGTAGATCTGGAAGAGACCCTCTCATGATCATTCCCAAGTCTCAAGAGAACTGAAACAGAGAAGACCACAGTGCACGCACCCTCCTCCTGTTTGTATCAGAGGTCGACCATAATACTTCGATTTGGTGGAAAAGCAGGGCCCCTTAGTCTCCGGCACTTTGTGCCCTGCAGCTTCTCAGCAGCACATGCAGGTCACGAAGTCGGGTCATCGGAGATACTAGTAACACAAATAAAAGTAATGATCGGACTTATTCACAATAAAACGTGCCTATTCTACATCGATATAGATCAGAAAACTCTTCCGTCCTCTCTTGCCACTACTGAGCTCCAGCAACTATCTTCTCTATTCGTCATCACGTATCTTTTTGAAGCCCATGCTTCGAACTTCCAACAATATATAAATCTAGATCGTGCCTGGATGTAGGATACGTTAGAAGTTTATCCCGGACTTACTCGTCTCGTGGACAAAGAGCTGAGGACATCTGCAACCTTCTCAAGCTGCTACCATCACCATCGGCAGTCCAGTAAGAGAGAATACAGCAATCCGAAGATTTGGTTACTTAACGCCTGGAGACTGTCGACCTATGATGTGACAATCGATTCAATTATCACAAGGGTAGAAGAAGAACAAATTCTTTCTACTTTGGTAACTGCAAGTCTTCAAGGAAACAAGAAAGACACCAGGAAATGCAGGACTCACTAATGTTTCATAACTCTGATTTCCTTTCAAGTTTATAGTGCTTGACAGTTTCACTAGGTGAACGGAAAATTACAGTCTGGTAGACTAAATGGGTTTTGTTATCAGTCGGACCTACAACGACGGATAACAGTCGGACCTTCCTGACGGAAAAAGTCACACTTCCTTGCGCAGATTCTATTGCCCGACATTGAGTTTGGGGCTAAAGACCAGAAGCACTGATGCAATTCTTCTTTTTCCTGTTGTAGTCCCACTGATCATGAGCTCAGAGTACTTGATTTCGCTGGTGTTATTCGCCGAAGGTAACTTTTTAGAATATCAGTATTCTACTTCGCTAACTGTGACATTAGACTCTGATATCTTAGCAAACGGCAGAAGAAAGTGTTGTATCATACTGCACATCAAGGAGTGGGACTGAAGGTTTAGAACGTGCCCATTCAGATACAGATGTGTCTTGTCCAACCGCAAGGCTTTATCTTCTTTCCTTAGCAACGAAACTTTACCAACAGGTCCATACATGCAAACTTCACCCTGGATGATGTGAACCGTCATGCAAGGACTCAACTCATAACCCAATCTTTTTTTGAATTGCATTAGAGTTGCTCTTCCAATCTTTTACAAGATTATGTTTTGAACTATAGCCATTGAATCTATCATCAACCAATGAGACGGTTGATAATAGATCCAACAGTTACACTCCAAGTAATAAATTTGTAAATACAATGGAGAACACTCTACTGCATTTCAAAAAGTGACTAAGTCATGAATTTGAATCTCTACAAACTTGAGCGTAGATTGATTCATTCGATAAGTCTTTCCCACAATGTTGATGAACTTTACCGAGTCCTGCATTGAGAAAAACCATATGGAGAATAACACACCAGTAAACTTGAATATATCACACAAACGTGAAAAAGTGAAAACGCTTGACCCTCTATATTCCGTGCACTTCGGAAGGAGGTAACCATATTAGTGCCCTTGGTATGAAACAGTTATAAAGATATACCAACAAGGTATGGAAATCTGACGCTATGTATCGTTGTACTTTTTCATTGAAGAGATCGACAGAAGTTTATGATTAGGAAACATGCAAAGACAACTTAGATTCATGAAACTAGTCAGGATTGCCTACTAAGTCATCTTACTTAAAACGAAAAGAGAAAATCCGAAACAGTCAAAACAAATATACAGTGCGAACTAAGAGAGTCAGAAGTGCATGAGTTTGGAAGGAAGAATTAAATTGAATTTATGTACCTAGTGGTGTGATCGAGGAACAGCCACAAACCAGTTCACCCTTTCTCCATAGTGAAGAGCGTGAAGCATAGCCTTTCGTTAACGAAGAAATCGAAAGAAACAATTTCCCCAGTTACTGTCATCTTATCCAAATCTGATATGTAATCTGCTCAGTCCCTCCACCACTGCTTGGAGCCATGAGAGGGTTTGTTGCTCATGTCCTTGCCAATACACCACAATTTATACCCAGTTTGCTGCTCAGGTCGCGTATTGTGTACTCGTTCCCACGTGACTATGTAATTCTGTTGTAACTTGAATTTTCTCTTTCGTCAACGAATTTCACACAGTTTCTAATGTTTTCTATGTATAGAAACTTGTGGAAAATTCGAATACACCACCTATGTTCCAGGCACAAACAGAACTATTGATACGAGTGATATTGGAGTTTAGGCCTGAGCCGGAAAGACTGATAGGGTAAAGACGCTTTACAACAGGATTGATTGCAAGTGGGAAATGAGAGTTTATTGTTCCTTCTTTGAGTGACATCCTACATTTCCACAATATCTCAGTCTAAGTTCAAAAGGTCTAAACACTGATGTTTCTTATAAGATAAGCCTATAATTTAGATCGCTTTTGAACAAATATTTGAAGCTCTTTTTATCATATGTGGAATATTTTTATGTCCTCGCTACCTTGATTATTGGATTCAAGTATACCACTCTGTAGTAATTTCAATTTAGAGCCATGTGTGAGTCTTTAGCCTATGATTATCAAATTATCGTGTGTATATGCAGCCTGCAGCTTAAATAACTCCTAAGCAGTTCAATATAAATATTATGCATTCCCAAGTGAAGGGAAGCCATATATCTTGAATAAATTTCTGAATCAAAATGAGGGATACTCTAGCATCGCACCTTGGAAGTGTACAATGGCAATCATTCCGATCTGATCATACCAGCACTTTCTTCGTCAC